GGTGGGGGGGCGAAACCCGGGGCCTGCCCCACCGGAGAGCCCGGGTTGGGGGGCAGCGGGCCCAGCCCAGGCCCTGTAAGGGCTCCGAGACGGGGTAGGGGGCTCAGGGCCTGGCCCTGCCGGAGCCCTCCCGGTTCGGGGACACCGGGCCCGGCTCTACTCAGCCTCCCCCCTCCTCAGGCACACGCACTCCAGTGGGGTTCCCAAAGTCCCTCAGGTCCTCCTGGCGCCCTCCTGGACCGTGGTACAAAGCATCCTCCCCCCACCCCACCACGGGAGAAAAAGTCCTGTCAGGCCTTCCTGCCACTTAAATTCAGGCTTTTTGGTGGTTTGAAGGCAACAATTAAGGAAGAAGCTGTGTCAGCTCACAGGGAGGGAAATGAGCCCGGGCGGGAGCAGCCCCCATTGGCCCCGGGGACGGCTGCTTCATGCAAAGCGCTGTCAGGGCCTGTGTGGCTTCAGCCAACATCTCCCACCTCTCACAGGCCGAGGAACCCTCTCGGATGAGCACGCTGGTGTCATCTCTGTCCTCGCCCAGCAGGCAGCCAAGCTCACCTCCGACCCAACCGATACGCCCGTGGTGTGCCTGGAGTCAGACAGCGGGTGAGTGTCCAGCCCAGGAGTGCCACTTTTCCCCTCTGTTTGCCTTTTCCCACCAGCCCTGGAGTCCTTCCCAGAGTCAGATCCCTCGAGCAGCTCTCCTTAGCTTGAGCTAAACTGGTAGATGTGGAGGACACCTCATCTCTGATGCTGTGGGGGGAAGGTAGTCACTGCCATAGGCATGTGAATGCATAGAATCGTGATAGAATGATTTGGGTTGGAAGGGAACTTGAAGATCATGCAGGGATACCTCCCCCCAGCCCAGGTTGCTCCAAGCCCCGTCCAACCTGGCCTTGAACACCTCCAGGGATGGGGCAGCCACAGCTTCTCGGGGCAACCTGCCCCAGGGGCTCACCACTCTTACAGTCAACAACTTCTTCCTAATATCTCATCTAAGTCTCCCCTGTTACAGTGTAAAACCATTCCCCGTTGTCCCATCGCTCCCCTCCCTGATCAAGAGTCCCTCCCCAGCTCTCCTGGAGCCCCTTTAGGGACTGGAAGGCTGCTATAGGGTGGTATATATATAATTCATTAGATTAATGGTACCTCAAGGAACAGGAACTGTAAAAGCCATAGGAAACTTTTCAGGGGGTGGTGGCTACTGCAGTTCTGTGCCTGTTCGCCACTTGGGATCCCCACTTGGGCTAATTAAGCCCATGTGGTAGCCAGTCAATGTGGTAGGCAAAGCCTTCTCCAGCACTGCTCATGGGAATGGGCAGAAGAGATGCAGCGAGCGACTGGTCTGGGGGATGCTGCAGCCACGAGGTGATACCCCTGTCCCGTTTCCCACCCACGTCAGCTCCTCCTCCTCCCCGCTTGGCTTCTCAACCATCTCAGTACTTTTCTTGTTCTAGGAATATCATGATCCAGAAGCACGACAGCATCACTGTAGCGGTGCACAAGCTGGCATCCTGACCCTCGGGAACCCGCGCAGCGCTCCACTCCCTCCGCCGGCCCAGCTCCTCCTCACTGGACAACAACCACTCTCCTCTGCTGCTCCAGTGCAGAACGTGCTTGTAGTACCAAACCTGGGCTGAAGGCTCTTCTTCTCCACTTAACAGCTCCTGTGCAGCTCTCGGGGTCTCCAACTCACATCTTAGCACTTGTGCTGTTGAGGATGAAACGTGGGTCACTCACCAAGCTTGTGTAATGATCGGATACTCCGAGGTGTATGTGTGTGTGTTTGGCCTTATTTGTTGGAGAAATCAATAAATGACCTGCAAAAACACACCTTTGCTTCTCTTTGCTGCGGCTGTTGCCCATTGCTTTGCCTTGTTTCGACCTCCTTCTTTAGCATTTCCCTGGCAAAAAGGAGCAGGGCACAAAGGCTGGAATTAACGGAGGCTCCTCCTGTGGGAAAGGCGCAAACGGTTTCTGAGGAATTTCTCCTAGGAAATGTTTAGCCTCCTCTAGTTAAACTTTCTATGTGAGAGTTACTTGCTTACTATGCCTTGGATTGAAGTTCAAACTGAAACGCGCTGGCCCTGCCTGGTCCCTGCGTGAACTGTAAGTGGATGTTGACAACATCCGCGCAAATCCCAGCCTCCCTCCTTCTTACAGAGTCGAACATTTGAAGTGGTGCAGGGAAACAGTCCCACGGAAAGCCTTTCCCCTTGAAAAATCCGCTACGCTCAAACGCTTTCTATGTGTACGGGAGTCAAAAGGAGCTGGTGTGCAGCTGTCGGTGGGGGAAGCGGAAGGGAAGCTTCACAGCAGAACGTGAGCTAACAAATTGAGCTGTGTCAGAGACAGAACCGACATTTGGGCTGCTGTGACTTTACTACCAGGAGCAGCTCCGCTCGTCAGCGGCGCTCACAGTCTCGCAGCCATTGCTGCGGATGGAACGGGCAGCAGGGACGAGCCCGCCCTGCTCCGCCTGCCTGTCCAGGGCAGCTGTAATTCCGCATAACGACCCGGCCTCGGCAGCCGGCGTCGGTGTGCCCGAGCTCAGCGGTGGTGGGTCCCCGTGTTTCCCTCTCCCTGACGGCCCGCGGAGCCGGGAGCAGCCCAAGCTGGAGCGTTTCCTCCCGGACATCCGACAGCTCTGAGAGCAGATGCTGCACCAGATGGTGCCACCTTCTCCCCAGCAAGACCCCCCCCCATCCTTCAAGCCCCTAAACCAAACTCATTGCAAAAACCATTCCACTTAAATAAAAGCTTAATGCGCGTATTAAAAGTCCGACTATAGGGAAAGCTCCTCCATAGGCTCTGATCTATCCCAGGCTCCTCCAGCACGCGGGAGCATCGCCTTCTCTGCCAAGGGAGGGGAGCAGAGATCAGTATCACGATCCTACAATTTTATCTGACCTCAGAAACGCCGATTGGGGTGACAGGTCAACCGAAACAGGGTGGGGAGGAGGAAGCGTGAGGGCTGTATTTACCCGGAGAGTTTGTGCATATTTACAAGAGAGGCACAGAGCCAACTCAAATCCCGCTCAACTACCAGCTCCGCTCAAGGGCTGCGGCAGCACGGCTGCTCCGCTCCAGCTGCCGAGCATCTTTTAGCTGGAAAACCTAAAGCTTTCCAGACTATCCCCTCCTAAATGACGCAGTTTCCCGGGCCGAGGGCAGCCCCAGGCTTGGCTTCAGCCCACCATTGCCACCTACTGCTCTGCTCAACGCCCAGCAAACCCCGGGGCTTCGCCTAGAGCTATAACCCTTGCAGGTTTCCCCTCCTCTTTTCCTCTCCCAACAGGATTTCTGCTCCGAAAGCTCCGGGTTTCCTGCTCCCGGCTGGGGAAGGGGAGGGACTCGTGGCCCCGCAAGCCGGGCTCTGCCTCCGGGGAGGAGGAGGACGGGCTCCGTCCACACAGCTCCAGCGTTTGCGGGACTCCATGTCCCGCTTCGGGGCTCGTCGGGAAGGACAGACACTGTCGTCCTCAACGGAGGCGAACGAAGGACCAGACTTTGGGGTGCCAAGTCAGGAAAGGGGGATTTAGTCTCTGGAGCAAATGAAGAGGCGATTCCTCTTTGCAATCGCCTGTTCCGGGGAGGATTTTCCAGCATGCAGCAGCGAGGCGGTAAGGAAAAGTTTCGGGTTCGTCAGCCCCAACCGCTGTGGGGTCCAACTGCTCCCTCGGGCAGGATCCTGCTGCCGCCAGGGGTGCGCGACGGGCGAGGGGAGGGACGGGAGGTGAGCAGAGAAAGGTGGGGAAGGGAGAGCTTCCCACGAGGGCTCACGGATGGATCCGGCACAAACCAACCAAACCGTCCGCTCTAACGCGACAGTAAGTTGCTTGTCACTTAAAATCCCTTAAAGCTTAAGTGGTTACAGTAGTTTGGTGGGAAAGAGAATGGATATTAAACTGTTCCCTGGCAGTGATAGCGTGCAACTTCACATCTGTTGGCAAAGAGGTTGGTAGAAGCTTCGCCCACCCTCAAAAAAGCTTTTGCAAGTTGAACGCGAAACACTGGTGCCTTCCCCACACACAGCAACGGAGCCACAGCGCTCAAGGGCAGCTGATGCCGTCACGGGAGCGGTTTTGGAACTGAAACGGTGACGGCACAAGGTGTTAACGTGTCCTGAAATTCTCATTTCCAGGGGAAAGGAAGGGGGAAGAGGTGGAGGCTCCGGCAGGAGGGAAGAGCCCCGGCGCGGGAGCTGCGGCCGGAGGGTGGGCATGGGGAGTGGTGTTTCACTTCTTCCTGGTGAGCAGAGAACAAATTCACCTCAATCCTGCTGGGGCCGGGGCAGATAGAAAGTCCTGAGTGTCCCTCAGGTGGAGCAGAGGACAGGACAGGCCGATCCCACCGAGCTAAGGGCAAAAACCCGCCGTGCGCTGCTGCGCCGAGCGCCAGCACCCCGTCCTGCACCCCCTCACCGGGGGCGGAGCGCCTTCCCCTACGAAATCACGGAATCACAGAATTTTCAGAGTTGGAAGGGACCTCTAGAGATCATCTCGTCCCACTCCCCTGCTGAAGCAGGACTGCCCAGAGCACATCCCTCAGGACTGCATCCAGGCAGGGCTTGAAAACCCCCAGAGAAGGGGACTCCACACCCTCCCTGGGCAGCCTGTGCCAGTGCTCTGCCACCCGAACTGTAAACCATCCTCCTTCAGCCCACCCTTTAGATACTTGTAGACAATAATAAGGTCTCCCCTCAGCCTTCTCTTCTCCAGGCTGAAGAGTCCCAGCGCTCTCAGCCTTTCCTCATACGGGACATGCTCCAATCCCTCAGTCATCTTTGTTGCCCTTCACTGGACTCTCTCCAGCAGCGGCCCGTCTCTCTTGAACTGGGGAGCCCAGAACTGGACACAGTGCTCCAGATGTGGCCTCACCAGTGGAGAGTAGAGGGAGAGAATGACCTCCCTCGACCTACTGGTCACACTCTTCCCTGTGCAGCCCAGGATGCCATTGGCCTTCTTGGTGACAAGGGCACATTGCTGGTTCGTGAATAATTTACCATCTACCAGGACTCCCAGATCCTTCTCCTCAGAACTGCTTCCCAGCAGATCCACCCCTAACCTATACTGGTGCCCAGCATTCTTCCTCCCCAGGTACAGGACCCTACGCTTGCTCTTGTTGAACCTCATGAGGTTCCTCTCTGCCCAGCTCTCCAGCCTGGCCAGGTCACGCTGGATGGAAATGCCCCCTGAAAACATCTCAGTGAGGGAAATGAAGGTGCCCAACCTGCAGCCCAGGGCCAAAAGGCAGCTTGCAACGATAAAATGACGTGTCCCTACTCGTCCACACCACCATTGGGGCATCAAACCCCAAAGTGGTGTCTTGTGCTAAGGGGGAGATCCCACCTTGGGGCAGCGGTGGACCGGGGTCGAGATGGGTCCTTAAGGACCGACTGCAGGAGCAGCACAGGGTCAGGCACTCGGTTACTCTCTCCCCGGAGGACCGAGTGTCTCGACACCACTTAAAGGCACTAATTCTCCGTGCCGCAGGCTTTTAACACCACGCACCACCTTCCCACCAGGGGCGAAGGCAATGCCATCCTCCAGCGAGGAAAGCTGGGAAGCGCAGGAAAGCTTTCCCCCCCACCTCCACTCCAGCCAAAGTACCTCACTGCCAATCATTAACCACCCGCTACCGCTACCGGGGAGGAGGGAGGGAGTTAAAATTAAGGACACAAACCGTCCTTTGCCCCCGTGGCAGGACAAGCCTGGGAAACCGCTCCGGCTAACGTCCGTCCCCGCTCCGCTCAACACCTCATCAACTGCTAGTGATGTTTCAGAGCGCCGAGACCCGTTTAGGTTATTTTTTTAGTGTTAAAAAATAACTTACAGAGCAAAATAAAACCCCTCCAAGAGTCAGGCTCTAGTGTAGTTTTGTTCCTTTTCTTCGAAAAAAGCCAGTTTGGACAGAAGGTTTTTGAGGGTCTGTTAATAAACCACACCGTGGCCACCACCAGTCCGCCCTGCTGATAGTCCCCCAACACACGCTACACCAGTTAACGTCTCCCAGTTTGTTTCTCCCCCACCACAACAAATTATCCACCCAAGAAAAGCAGAAGGAAAAGTTTTTTCCCCCTCCTGCCTCACCCCTTTGGCATCTTACCTCCGTCTGCTTCCCATTCAGGTCAACGTCCTCGTGATGGGGATGCTCAAGACCTTTGGGATTTTCTTCGTGGCTTTCCAAGAGGAGGTGGGGGGCTCCTCCGAGCAAGTCAGCTGGATCGGCTCCATCATGTCCTCCCTGCGCTTCTTAGGAGGTGAGCCGGCATCCCTAAGGGTGGGGGCGGCGCTTCGACCTCAAGCCCGTTGGCTTTGCTATAAGGAGCACTGGGGATGCTCTGCAGATCCGATGTCCGTCCCAGACTGCTGCAGGCAGGACACGGCTGACACCCACGTGTGTCCGCGCAGGAGCACGGTCCAAGGATGGGGATCACAGGTGTCATGATGTCTCGCTGTGGCAGGTTTATTTTAGATGTTCAGAGCAAAGCCTCACCCCTAACGCCACTATTATTGCCTCCCAGCACACCAGCTGCTGAATAACTCACGGCCGCTGAGCGCGGTGTGCATTTCGAAGCAGGTTGAGGGCGGTGATCCCCTGGGGCAGGTTGCCCCGAGAAGCTGTGGCTGCCCCATCCCCGGAGGTGTTCAAGGCCAGGTTGGACGGGGCTTGGAGCAACCTGGGCTGGGGGGAGGTGGCCCTGCCCAGGGCAGGGGGTGGAACTTGATGATCTTCAAGGTCCCTTCCAACCTAAACCATTCTATGATTCTATGAAATGCTTCCAAATTGCATTTCTCATCCAATTGAAAGTGCAGCGCCATAACTTTGCCTGTGCAAAAGATGAGAGAGTTGGGGGGGTTCAGCCTGGAGAAGAGAAGGCTCCGGGGAGACCTTAGAGCTCCTTCCAGTCCCTGAAGCAGCTTCGGGAGAGCTGGGGAGGGACTTGTTACAAGGGCATGGAGTGATAGGACGAGG